TTCCTTCTAGAGACAGGGTCTTGGTCTATTGCCCAAACTGGAGTGCAGTGGTGGAATCATAGCTTAGTGTAACCTCTACTTCCTGGGATGAAGAGATCCTCCCACCTCAGCCTCCAGACTAGTTAGGACTATAGACGTGCACCACCATGCCCAACTAATTTTAAGTTTTGTTATAGACATGGGGTCTTGCTGTATTGCCCAGGGTGGTCTTGCACTCCTAGCCTCATGTGATCCTCCTGCCTTGGACTCCTAAAATGCTGGGATTGCAGGCATGAGCCACTGTGCCTAGCTGGGAAAAGGCAAAATGGGTTCTACTTTATATTAATCTGATTGAAGAAATGATGTAACCACAGAAATAATGCAAAGAAAAAAAAAGGTACAAGAAAATTTGTATCAACCAGAGGAGGGTAGGAGGACCTCCAGAACAGAAGCCTAGGAAAGACTTGGCCGTGCAATTATGGACATTTAGATCTGGCTCTGTCCAGAAAAACTGTCCATTTGGGTCTCCCCCTACAGTGAAGACAAATGAACCTGCCTCTCATACCACCTTGATAGTGGTCATTAAGATCATCCAGATTGCTCTGTGAATTCTATGTCCATGTCCACCAAGCAAGCTTCTGATAGTGATTCATCTCTCATGAAAATTAGGCCACAAGAATATGTGCTAATCAGGGATCACCAGTATCTAGCTAATTGATACGAAAGTTATATTTTATAATTATAAATTAATAGTATCATATTCGTTGCATATTTGATTCTTATTGATTTGGTTAACCTGATTCAGTACCCAAATCTCATCCCATCAAGGTGTAGCAATACCTGAATATCCAAACTTCTAAAGCAGAGAAATAAACCTGGAACATGGTGACTCTACCAAGAAATTGTTACCAGACCTATGTGGCTGGACACCTGATTCTCCCCTGACAAATCTTCTATTTCATTGGTTCATCATCAATTTTTTTTTTCATTTTCAATTTTTAACAACAGGCAGATATCTAGGTTTAACTGTCTCAAAGGTTTGATATATGACTTAGTGTTATATAGCATTCAGTGTTTATTTAAAATAATAGAAAAGTCCAAAGACAGGTTCGCAATAAGCAAAAATACATACATAAATAAGCATGGGGACTTTTAGAAGATTAAAATGAAGTTCTTACAAGTACATAAATCAAAATACAGCAGGAGTTATGACACCAAAATCTTCGATCTTATTTTTAGGGACAGGTTCTCACTATGTTACCCAGACTAGACTTGAACTTCTGGGCTCACGTGATCCTCCCACCTCAGCCTCTCAAGTAGCTGGAATTATGGATGCATACCACCATCTGAAAATCTGCAATATTGACACTGCACTCTATAATGCCCTTCCTTACTATTCTCTTGACAGTATCCCCATTGTATATTTGTGAAGATGGCTGAATGTATTGAAGTAGATAATGCTTTTATAATGTCAAAGCCAATTGCACATAACCATAAGGTTACGGGACTGTTAACTGGTGGGTATCACAACCTGTTTATGAGAAGAGCATTCAGAACTGCATAGGGGAAGGTGTAGTGAAATATTTATTATAGGATATATCTTTGAGCTGGCATATTCCAAGACAGGCCATGGAACATGACTTTTTTTTTTTTTTTTTTTTTTTTTTTTTTGAGATGGAGTCTCACTCTTTGCCCAGGCTGGAATGGAGTGGCACGATCTCAGCTCACTGCAACCTCCACCTTCCGGGTTCAAGCACTTCTCTGCCTCAGCCTACTGAGCAGCTGGGATTACAGGAATCTGCCACCATGCCTGGCTGATTTTTGTATTTTTAGTAGAGATGGAGTTTCACCATCTTGGCCAGGCTGGTCTTGAACTCCTGACCTCATGATCCACCTGCCTCGGCCTTCCAAAGTGTTGGGATTACAGGTGTGAGCCACCACGCCTGGCCAGGAACATGACTTTTAGTAGTGCTTGTGACCAAAACCTATGGAGGAGAAAATGCAGTGTAATATACAAGTAACTCTTAGAATGACTAATCCAGTCGGATAAAACTCGTCTCAGTTTCTGTACCTACAATGTGAGGGGATGGGAGGTGGGAAAGTTGGGAAAGTACCTTATACTGGACCTTTTCTGTAGAAATCTCAATTTTTGTACTATTATCATTTGCTAATGTGACATGAAATTTAAGCAACCGGCAATGAGGAAAAATAGAGGAAATACTTAGACTGTAACAGAACTCTTCAGAGTTCTTCGTTTTGCAACAATCACCTTTCAAAACTTCCCTAATAACTTGGACAGACAAACCCAGTCGAATTTACAGATGCTTGTGGAAAGGTTAGAGAATTTGAGAGAAATAAAAAAGAGTTGGGAGTGAATATATGTGTCCTACTGCTTTGGTTTTGTTTCCTAGCATTTATTGGTTCAAATAGATTTGTTGCTTTGCAAATTCTCTGCCATCTTCATAAAAGACAAGGAGAAAACCTCTCAGTATCCCTCTATAGTGTGAGAAATGTGATTTATAATAACATTATTTCATAATTGAAAATACTGTTTCGTTGTCTGGGAAAATGAGTGCATCAGAATTAACTTGTAGTTTTGGAGGCAGTGGGTTGCTATAACAACCAGAAAAACAATGGTGTAATAACAGCTTTTCTTGAAAGCTGGAGAACTCACTAAATGCTGAGAGCTATAGCTGCAAGTGTTTGTCATATGAATTCAAACAAGAACCAAATGCATTCATTTCTTTCTTTCATAAGCACCGACTCCATGTCTGGCACTATGCTAGTAACTGGTAAAAGAGACATGGTCCCTCCCGTGATGGAGTGAACAATCTAATGGAGAAGACCAATAATAAAGAGTTAAAAAAAAAAAAAAAGATAAATGGAATAATTTCAGCATGTGAGAAAGGCCCTTCCGTAGAGAAACATTGGCCTCTGATACTGGACAAGCAGAGAAGGGTTGCTCCAGTATGGGACATGGAGAAGTACCTGGTCATATCATAAATCTTGCCTTTAAGGCTATATGAGCTCTAGTAAAGTGAAGGAAAAAAAGAATGGAGTCTTACAGTCTTTATTAGTAAAAATAATTTAAGGGAAGAAACTGCTAATTGAAGCATGATCATTTTTCATTACAAGAGTTTAACACGTAAATTCCCAGAATTCTTGAATTAGGAGGATTCAACATTAAAATAAGAGTTGTTTGTGTGTTTTAAAACAGTATTGTTTTGGGCTGGGCACGGTGGCTCATGCCTATAATCCCAACACTTTGGGAGGCTGAGGCAAGCAGATCACCTGAGGTCAGGAGTTCGAGACCAGCCTGGCCAACATGGTAAAACCCCGTCTCTACTGAAAATACAAAAATTAGTCAAGCGTGGTGGCACATGCCTGTAATCCCAGCTACTCGGGGGGCTGAGGCAGGGGAATCGCTTGAACCCAGGAGGCAGAGGTTGTAGTGAGCCGAGATTGCGTCACTGCACTCCAGCCCTGTTTCAAAAAAAAAAAAAAAAAAAAAAGTATTGTTTTATTTCAGCTTTTTTCATAATAGCCCAAAACTGGAAACAAGCAAATAAAACCAAATGTCCTTTGGTGGATGAATGATTAAACAAACTGTGTTATAGACATACCATGGAATACTCTGGCAATAAAAAGGAAATGAACTTTTTTTGAAGAATAACAGCTTTATTGAGATATAATTCACATTCCATAAAGTTCATCTTTTTAAAGTTTACAGTTCAGTTGTTTTTAGAACACTGACAATACAACCACTACTTAATTGTGCAAAAATCACCAGTCATTCCAAAACACTGTCATTACCCCCAAAAGAAACTCCATATCTATTAGTAGTTATTCCCCATTTCCACCTTATTGTCCATATGTTTGTGTCCCAGACCTAAGCAACCCTTAATCTATTCTCTGTCTCTATGGATTTGCTGACTCTGGGTCTCTCATATAAATGGAATCATACAATATGTTTCCTTCTGTTTCTGGTTTCTTTCACTTAATATGCTCAAGAGTCGTCTCTGTTATAGCATGCATCAGAACTCTGTTTTTTAAATGCATAAATAAGATTCCATTGCATTAATATTGACCTTTTGTTCATCTGTTTGTCAGTTGATGAGCATTCGGGTTTTCTCTCCTTTTTGTTGGTTATGAATAATGCTGCTATGAACATTAGTACCAATTTTTTCCATACGTATGTTTCCAGTTCTCCTGGTTATGTACCTAGGAGTGGAATTGCTGGGTCATATGGTGTCTCTGTTAACTTTCTGAGGAACAGAAAACTGTTTTCCAAAGCCATTGCACCATTTTACACTCCTACCAGCAGGTATGAGGATTTCAGTTTTTCCACATCCTTGCCATCCTTGCTTTTGTCTTTTTTTGAATTTTCAAGTCAAAGGGGTAATGTTCCAATGAGGTCATAACAAGGCACATTTCACACACGCACATGAAACCCCAATCATCACGCTTATAAACTACAAAAGGATCTGCTTTTGTTTTTTATTATAGCCATCCGAGTAGGTGTAAAGTGGTATTTCATTGTGGTTTCATTTGTATTTCCCTAATGTGTTGAGTGTCTTTTCATGTGCTTGTTGGTCATTTGTCTATCTTGTTTGAAGCAATGTCTGTTCAAATCTTTTCTCACTTTTTCAGTTGGGTTATTTTTCTTTTTGTTTGTTTGTTTTGTTTTGAGATGGAATCTTGCTCTGTCGCCAGGCTGGAGTGCAGTGGCATGATGTTGGCTCACTGCAACCTCCGCCTCCCAGGTTCAAGCGATTCTCCTGCCTCAGCCTCCCAAGTAGCTGGGACTACAGGTGCACGCCACCACATCCAGCTAATTTTTGTATTTTTAGTAGAGACAGGGTTTCACCATGTTAGCCAGGATGGTCTCGATCTCTTGACCTTGTGATCCACCCACCTTGGCCTCCCAAAGTGCTGGCATTACAGGCGTGAGCCACCTCACCCGGCCTTATTTGTCTTTTTATTGTTGAATTGTATCAGTTCTTTACATATTCTAGACACATGTCCCTTATCAGATATATGATTTGCAAATATTTTCTCCCAGTGTGTGAGTTGTTTTTTTACTTCTTTTTGTTTTCACTCACATTATGTATGTTGATGTTATAATTTGAAGCACAAAAGTTTAATTTTGGTAAAGTCTAATTTCTTTTGTTGTACTACTGATTGTTTTTAAAAAATAAATGCCCTGTACATCAAGCTGTTTGCAGAGTGTACTCTGAAATAGGTCAAATTAAAAGAAGTCCTGATTATGGAGATTTTCAGTGAGCTGTTAGGTGAACTAGTGATAATTCTCTGAGAGTGGGCCTTTTTGGGCTTCAAATCTGTTGTTTTCTCTCCAGTGGCTGCTAAGCTCTGGTTTCCACGACGACTATAAATGTGAAGCTGTTGAGTTTCAAGGCTGCCATGGAGCTGGGGAGAGGTGTATAGGATCAGAGCAAGTTAAAACACCATAGGCTTTCTGTTCTTACTGAGATTCAGCTGTTTTTCTTAGGTAAGCATTCCTTGGATGTGGAAAGCCTTTAGTTAATTTCCACAATTCTAATAAGTTTATGTCAACAGCTTTTGCTAATGTCCTTATTGCTTTTATGGAGGAGCAGATTTTCGGTGTGACATTACTGTACCATTCGGAATATCTACTGATATACACGATAACTTGGATAAATCTCAAGAGAATTATGCTGAGTGAAAATATGATCTTGAAAGGTTAAATACAGTGTGATTCCATTTATATAATTTTTTTTCTTTGAGACAGGGTCTTGCTCTGTCACCCAGGCTGGAGTGCGGCAGCACAATCATAGCTCACTGTAACCTCAAACTCCTGGGCTCAAGTGATCCTTCTGTCTCAACCTCCTAGAACTACCGCCACCACACCTGGCTAATTTTAAAATTTTTTTGTAGAGATGGGGTCTTGCTATGTTGCCCAGGCTGGTTTGAAACTCCTGACCACACGTGATCCTCCCGCCTTAACCTTCCAAAGCACTGGGATTACAGGCATGAGTCACCATGCCCACCCTATATAACAAATTTAAAATGACAAAATTACAGAGATGAATTACAGATTAGGGGTTGACTAGGGAGACGAGGAGGGAAAAGCCTGTGACTATAAAAGCAAGGCCTGTCTGGGCACAGTGGCTCACGCCTGTAATCCCAGCACTTTGGGAGGCCAAAGCAGGTAGATCACCTGAGGTCGGAAGTTTGAGACCAGCCTGACCAACATGGAGAAATTCTGTCTCTACTGAAAATACAAAATTAGCCGGGTGTGGTGGAACATGCCTGTAATCCCAGCTACTCGGGAGGCTGAGGCAGGAGACTCACTTGAACCCGGGAGATGGAGGTTGCGGTGAGCCGAGATTGCACCATTGGACTCCAGCCTGGGCAACAAGAGCAAAACTCCACCTCAAAAAAAAAAAAAAAAAAAAAAGGCATGGCACAAGGGATATTTAATATTTTAATAAACTTCATAGATTTAAATATACACACACCAAACACATGCATGTAAAAGTGGTAGAATGTGAATTTTAATGATTTGTATCAATGTCATTTTCTTGGTTGTGATATTTTACTGTAGTTGTGCAAGATGTTACCATTGGGAAAAACAAGTGAAGGATATACAGGATCTCTCTGTATTATTCCTTACAACTGCATGTGATTTTACAATAAGCCCAATTTTTTTTAATAAAACAGAAAAAGGAGTATCATCGCTCATAATGGAAATTATATAAGGAAAATTATATTACATAGTTGAGAGAAGCAATTCAAAATATTCTCTGGCAGCTGTTTTGAGGTTTTTATAAACACACCAAATGATACTGTAAATATATCTTAAGTATATTAATACTAGGATACCCTGATTAAGATAAAGACAGCACAGGAACTGGGCAAGCAACTAAGTTCTGAATAGATTATTATGGCTAATGAGGTGGGCTTCAGTAGAAGGGCAGATAAGTAGGTTACTCCATATACCACTGCAAAAATGATTCAGGCATAGAAAATGCTCTGTAACCTAACTTTTGTGAGGTACCCCTTCCTAAAACATTCATATATGTGATTCATTTAAAACAGAATTGCAGAATCATAGGTGTTTCAACGGGTATAGGCATGAATGATTCTGTAATAAGCTAAACAAGACAGAGCTCCACCAAGATGCTTGGAACATGCTAGAACTGAGTTAAAACTGAATATGGTATATTTCTTATCCCTCATGTAACTAAAAAAAATTCATAAATATATATATATATTTTAGAGACAGGGTCTCACTCTGTCACTCAGACGGGAGTACAATGGTGTGATCATAGCTCATTGCAGCCTCAAACTCATAGGCTCAAGTGCTCCTCTCTCCTCAACCTCCCAAGTAGCTAGGACAACAGGCATGCACAACCACACCTATTTTTTTTTTTTTTTTTTTATTTTTATTTTGTAGAGGCAGGGTCTCACTGTGTTGCTGAGGCTTATCGTGAATGCCTGGCCTCAAGGAATCCTGCCTAGGCCTCCCAAAGTGCTGGGATTACAGGCATAAGCCATCATGCTCAGCCTAAAAATGGCATATTCTGGTGTCTGATACCTAATCTGAAGAAATTTCAAGGTACTGCTCATAAAATGCGTCCCCAGCATGCTATTCCAAAGACTTCAACTTAATTTTGTCATATTTACTTTCAAGGCAAAATGGAACCCTTCTATGTTGATAAAATGTTTTATCTATGGTAAGATTTGAGGACTTGACATATTTAGAGGAATTCTTGTTTTAGATATATTATTAGTATGTTCACCAAAAAGATGTGAAATTCATTAAAGCCTCACCTCCACAGATCTCATTTTAAACACTAGGGTATGCCTTCCCTTTCTCCAAATCTTCTGGGTTTCCTGACAAGTTGTCCAGTTGGCTGATTCTAGTTTTCTGTCATTTCTCCCTTCTTTTTTTTTTGGAGATGGAGTCTCACTCTGTCGCCCGGGCTGGAGTGCAGTGGCGTGATCTCGGCTCACTGCAACCTCCTCCTCCCAGGTTCAAGCAATTCTCCTGTCTCAGTCTCTCGAGTATCAAGGACTATAGGTGCATGCTGCCATGCCCGGCTAATTTTTTGTATTTTAGTAGAGATGGGGTTTCATCGTGTTGCCCATGCTGGGTCAGGCAGTCCACCCGCCTTGGCCTCCCAACAGTTCTCCCTTCTTTAACATTCACAAACAGAGCTGACATGGGAAAAAGAAAGGACTTGAGTTCTTAGAAAATTGTGAACTGGCTACACAGGTATTAAGAGTCCTTGGTATTTCAGAGATCTCAAGTGTTACTGTCAGCATGGTAACTTTAAGGTTGATTCCAGCTATAATTAAATATCTCATGATAGTAAACACACAAAGGCTTTTGAAAAATTTAGATTGCATTTTGAAATAAATATGACATGATATCTTAAAATTTTTACTGTAATACTGTGCAAATTGTTTAGATTTAGAAATGATTTTATTGCTCCTTAAGCATTCATTCAATTCTTAAGAGTTCAGTGAATACACAGAACATAGGTAGTTTTTGGGAAAGTACGTCTTATTATTACCTTGATATATTTATATCTTATAACTGTGAATTTATAAGATTTATTTATTTCTTCACACATCTATTTATAACTGTGAATTTAAATATAAAAATAATTTAACATTTATTAAATTAGCTAAATGCTCTCATTGAGATTACTGGATCTGAACTGACATGGTCAAAATAAAATACAAAAATATATAAATACTAAATAGAATACTAAAATATAAGCATAATGTAATACTAAAAATAATACCGTGTTTTAATACTTTGAAACTTATCATCACTGAAGGGTTTGGTTGGATTTTAGTTTCAATGAAAGCCAATTTTTAACACTCTTTCTCCATGGTTCTAAGATGACTTTTAGTTGGGCCCTCTCTCGATTCAGAGTTCTGAGTAAGGAGTCAGAAATTCCAGACCACGTGCCCTAAGGTGCATCAGGGCTAGACTGCAGGGCCAAAGAAATCTCAAGCAGAACAATAGGCCAGGTGTGGTGGCTCACGCCTGTAATCCCAGCGCTTTGGGAGTCCAAGGCAGGCTGATCCCTTGAGCTTAGGAATTCAAGACCAGCCTGAGCAACATGGTAAAATCCTGTCTCTACAAAAAATACACACACAAAAAAGAACAATAGTGATTTTACTTTCCGAGTCCTGTATTTGAGGTAGTGCTACTCAGCAGGCAAGAGTGTATACTAGAAAGTGCCTTGGTTTAAGAGATAGAAAACACAGTTCTAATTCCAGTTTTATGAATAACTAGCAGTATAAGCTTTGGTAAATTATTTAAAGTTCCTTGGGTTTATATAAGAAAACTGGGCTCTGCCAGGGAGGTTGAGGCTTCAGTGAGCTGTGATCGCACCACTAGACACCAGCCTGGGCAACAGAGTGAGACCCTGTCTCAATTAAAAAAAAAAAAAAGAAAGAAAGAAAACTGGGCTCTAATATCCTATGATTCTAACTGACAAAAAAATTAAGAATCGGCCGGGCGCAGTGGCTCAAGCCTGTAATCCCAGCACTTTGGGAGGCCGAGATGGGCGGATCACGAGGTCAGGAGATCGAGACCATCCTGGCTAACACAGTGAAACCCCGTCTCTACTAAAAAATACAAAAAACTAGCCGGGCGAGGTGGCGGGCGCCTGTAGTCCCAGCTACTCGGGAGGCTGAGGCAGGAGAATGGCATGAACCCAGGAGGCGGAGCTTGCAGTGAGCCGAGATCCGGCCACTGCATTCCAGCCCGGGTGGCAGAGCCAGACTCCGTCTCAAAAAAAAAAAATTAAGAATCAACTTATGATGAAGAACAATATACAGAAATTCAAGCCACTAAAGGATTATGTAAAAACGTAAATTTATACTATATATATCTTATATTGTTAAGATCTAGAATATGAGCAGTTTTGTTTTACAGTAACACTTCCAATCTTAAATGTTTTTTCAGCTCTGTTCAAGGCTCTTTGATTAGGGTTATGAGGGCTATAAAGATGAAATAGACCTTATCCCCTGATCTCAGGAAGCTTACCAGTTAGTAGGTTCACCCTGTCTTCAAGTACCCTTGCCCATGGGGCTCCCCTTTCAGCAGAAAATCTTGCATTCTAATTCAAAGAAAGAAAACATTAGAGGTATAAACTACCTGAAGTCCAAAGCCATACTCAGAAACTCATCTCCATCTATATCAACCTTTCCTTTCTGCCATAGCTGCAGCTTAAATCAGAGGTGGGCCAAAGGCCTGTGATATGGGACACCAAATACATCTACTGATGTCTCCAAATCAAGACTCCTGTGTTCCCAAATCCATTAAACAACAGCATCCGTTTAGTCAACTGTGACGGAGATTGCTGATTGTGTCCTCATCCATTCTCCTCCCTTTTAGTAATAGAGCTTTTGGGATATGGGATAAGTGAGAAGGCTAAGCCAGTAAGTTCCCAGAGGAGAAGGTAAGAGGATTGGAAAGAGTTTAGGGATTAAGGAAGAGAACCCTGGGCCCCTTGGAGGCTTAATTTCTGCCGCTCCTAGGAATACTAGACTTAATAGCAAAAATATGAGGTGTGTTTGTCTCTCTGTGTTAAATGTATGCAGGGGCCCATTTGTTTATTAAAAAATCATTATTCAGCATGACATGAAATTTAACTTTTGGCTTTGAATTTATTGTGGAAGGATAATTGTAGGGATATCTGAAATGTCCATGATAACAATAATGCCTGCATGACATTGTGAACCACCTGCATTTGAATACAGAAAACTGAACGTGTTTATATTAAAATATATTAATTTATTCACACCTATTTATTAATAGAGCTCCGTGAGTTTTAGCTAAGCACATCCATTTAGTGACAATATTTCCCAGTTCATCTTGCAACTGGGCATGGTGATATGATTAAGTTCTCCCCAATTAAAAAAATAGCAAAAGTGATGTAAAAGTTCTTTAAAATGAAAATATTTTTTGCCTTCCATTTCCTCTTTCCCCTTTTTCACAGGCTGAAAACACAGATACAATTCTGGTGAATGTGCTTTCCTCATGAGGACAGACAGCTCACTGCGGGTTGGGAGGATAAACGATAAAAGAACCTGGGCCCGTAAACAACCCCATGGGGCAGAACTAGTCCGCAATACTTGGCTGTTCACTTCTGGACTGAATGTATACAAAAAGGTTTCTACCTTACATTCCAGGGCCTCTTGGATACGGAAGTTTGGCCTATACTCTAACACAACATCCAAGCAAGAAAGGTGAAATCACTTACAGGCCTTCCTTTCTCATACTCCTTACAGCTCCCTCGTCTCCAAACATACAATTATAGGTCCAGATAAGTGTAACTGACTTATCTGTTCCTTCCTCATCAATTCCATAACTACTCCCCATTGAGAACCACATTATGTAACTGTCTGGACTACAACAACACATCCCTTTAAATGTTCTTCTTGCTGCCACAATCTTGCACTGTCAGTACATCCAGAAGGGTCTCAATAAAACAAATCCAATTTTGTCAAATCCCTATTTTTAAATTCTCAATGAATTCACATTGTATGCAAAAAAAAAAAAAGTCCAAACTCCTTGACGGCATATAAGACCTTCAAGAGCTGATGCCTACCGACTTTTCCAGCTTGTTCTTATGCCAAGCTTCCCCTTCCATCCTAGGATCGATCAGGTTACATCAAAATACATGCTGTACTCTGAACATTCCCACCTTTGCAACTCTGCTGTCTCTGTAGAATCTGCCACAATAGGAACTATAACCTTTATTGAGGTTATTTGCTTACCTATTGGTCTTCCTCAACATTTCCCAACTTTATCTCTTACAAGTGATCAGAGTCCTAGAACTCACAGGGAATTTTCTGCCAGAGAATACATAAAATATTGCCACTTTCCATGGGTTTTTAAAAAAATTATTACTATTTAAATTACTAATACACAGAGAGAAGCATACCAGTGGGTTCTCTAAGTTGGTACACTGAAGGTCTTGGGACTTCTGGCAGTGATTTTAACTGTCAGGTGATAAAAATCTAGCCTGACAGATGACGTAGTAGACATTGCTGTTTGTATCCCGATGTTCTTTCTCAGCGTTCTTCAAGAAGGAACCACTGAATTTTAACTGGATACATGTTGACAGAATAAACACTACCTTTTCCTTGCAGCTAGGTGTGGCCATGTAGTTAAGAGCTAGCCAGTGTCATGTGACCAGAAGTGATATGTACAATTTCCCTTATAGGACAGGGTCATGCCCTTCCAACACTGCCATCCTGATGGCTGGAATATGGACATGAGGGGGTGAACCATCTTGGACCATGTGAAACAGGGTAACACCCCAAGGGCAGTACAACAGGAAGATAACAAGCCTGGGTCTCAGATAACTTTGTAGATCAGGACCTACATAAAAGATTGGACTTTTATATGAGAAATCCATTTAAAGATATATAAGGTCTCTCTTGCATACAACCAATTTATGTGCTAACTAATGTATTAAGTGAGAGAAAACCTCATCCTATGACATATTCTCTCTACTAATAAAGCCTTGAAGACATTGACACTCTGGATCAGGCTGTGCCTTGAGGTGAGAACCATTGCTATTTGCTAGGTTCCCCAAAATTAACAAATAATTTCTCCCTAAAAGAATATTCTTGATTAAGATACGGTGGGTCTGGCCGGGTGCGGTGGCTCACACCTGTAATCCCAGCACTTTGGGAGGCCGAGGTAGATGGATCACGAGGTCAGGAGTTTGAGACTAGCCTGGCCAATATGGTGAAACCCCGTCTCTGCTAAAAAAATTAGCCAGGCATGGTGGCACGCACCTGTAGTCCCAGCTACTCAGGAGGCTGAGGCAGAATTGCTTGAGCTTGGTAGGCAGAGGTGGCAGTGAGCTGAGATCATGCCACTGCACTCCAGCCTGGGTGACAGAGTGAGACTCCCATCTCAAAAAAAAAAAAAAAAAAAAGATATGGTGGGTCCAAGTAACCAAAATTGCTTTGGCAGTGACAGTGTAAAAGATCTCCATTGAGAGACTCCCCACAGAGTAGGAGAAAATGTCTCAGATATGGAGGGAATAATATGCAACAATATCTGTTCCCTGCCTGCCCTGTGCCTCGGACCATGTTGAGTCCACAAGGGTAAAGTGACAAAGAGAAGCTGCTGGCAAGGGTCTAGGTGACAAAAGAGCCCAGAGTTAAGAAAAGGGTGTAAAACCTATTGCCTGTAAGGTACTCCTCTAAAATTTGGCAGCTTCTCTGAACAGTACCTTTTTGTTGTTTTTCATTTAAAAACTGTCTTGTATATACTTAATCCACTCTATAGTTCTCAAATACATTATCAATTAATTCTCTTGGGATTGCTAGTCACCTTTTCTATAATTTTGCCTCCTAATACTTTCTGCTTTATTATATTTGCTATAACAAATATTCTTCTAAAATTAGTTGTAAAGATGAAACAGTGTTGAAGTTTCAAATAGATATGGGAAGTAGAGATGTGATGAAAGGATATTTACATTCTGGTTATCAGATTTTTGGATTTCAAAGACCAGTCGACTTTCTTTTAGTATTTAGGGGACTGATATAAGGCTGAAGAATTTTTACATTTCCAATTTTTGAACAGTGAAACAAATCTAATAGAATAATTTTTATTTTACAACTCATTCATTGTGTTTTATAGTTTTTCACTTCAGCACAAATTGGTAAAATAACATCGGGCAAAGCACTGGTTCCTGGTTTAATGAGCAGGGTTTAACAAATTGATTATATTTTTTGAGTACATTTACTATAGATCCCTTTCAGGTAGATGCACTTTTCCAATCACTTGTTTTCCTATTTATGAAGAGACAATGAACTTTTGCTACTAAGATGTATTTTTAATAATGAGCCATGGTGCCAATAGTTCGAAACATCTGAACCATGTATTTTGCTTTAAATCCTTATACACAGCCTTCTTGGACAATAATCGTATCACTTACATTTGTATAACACTTGAGTTTCAAAGCTTTCATATACACTACTGCACTTTATTCTTTGAATAGTTTACATTTTGTTATCCATTCTTCCATTACTCATCATGAGGAAATTAGAATTTCAGAAATGTCAGCTTTGCCTTCATTCTGAGGTACTAATTTTCACATTTCTTTCAGATGGTGAATGTATATTATTTCTTTTTTTATTTTTTTTCTTTTTATTTTTTTTGAGATGGAGTCTTGCTGTGTCGCCAGGCTGGAGTGCAGTGGCACGATCTCGGCTCACTGCAACCTCCGCCTTCCGGGTTCAAGTGATTCTCCTGCCTCAGCCTCCTAAGTAGCTGGGACTATGGGCGCTCGCCACCACGCCCAGGTAATTTTTGTATTTTTAGTAGAGACGGTGTTTCACTGTGTTGGCCAGGATGGTCTTGATCTCTTGACCTTGTGATGTGCCCACCTTGGCCTCCCAAAGTGCTGGGATTACAGGCGTGAGCCACCACACCTGGCCATATATTATTTCTTTAGCCCTATTTTGGGAATTACTCCTTCACCCTACAAACATTTGACCTACGTGTCTTGTGAAAAATGCAAATTTCTTTTTGTAGATATGTTCTTCAGACCTTGTCACAAGAGTTTTTACCCTTGGTGTGTGGATGAACTTCAGAAATGTCATTATACCCTTAAAATTATAAAATTAGGAACACAGGCATTTTCCTGAAGAATGGGTCAAAAGTTTTCATGATATTCTCTATTAAGATCCAGGCACCAAAACAGAACAACACTGCTCAACTAAAGGAGGTATGAGGGGCTATTATAATTTAATCCTAAAACTACATTTAAACAAGTTATTTGCTAAATTAGTCTTCTATTTTACCTTTTTGAAAACACCAGTATTACTTACTGTTTGAATTTAAAAGCATATGAAATAAAACTAAATCCTACCAATGGCAGTCCTACAAATGACATTATAGAAAGCATTTGTTAAACAATGTGCTGATTAATTGGAAAACTTAGAAAAGGATTCTTGTCATGAAGATATTTCAGCACTGCTAGTTCACAGCACAGGGAGAATTTTGTACATTTAGCAGAACCACTGAATTAGAAAGTCAGGAAACTTGGGTTCTAGTACCAGTTTTATTTATAACTAACCATGTACAAATCACTTATCTATAAAATAATGGTTAACATCTACTTCTTAATTCACAAATAGATCACAAAACCAAGATCCTTCCCAAGAAAACCTCACTGAAAACCACGACATTCCCACTATTTAGGCTAGGTTTTAACTCAAAGGTTAAGAACTCAAAGGCTGAGAAAGACAAACTGGAGCATTTGTCTTTTATTTACCAGTTGCATACCTTAATTCTGCAGATGGATAATCTGGTTAACATAAGCATTGCCATCTCTCAATTTTTACAAAACAAAAAGCTACCAACAAGAAGTTAAATGGTGAAGAAGAATTTGGCTCAAAAATAACACAACTGAGAAATAGCTTTGTATTAAGTGCAGTACTTATAACAGAATTTAGCTTTAGGTCACTGAAGCACATTTACGCTTTTGAAGAAACATGTATTGCTAGGGCAGGCATCTTACTTCACTAGAAATAACGTTAAACTTGTAGACTGTTCAAACGGCCAATCAAAATGACTAAGAAACATGATTGTGCGTTTTGTTTGTTTCTTTATCCTTTCTCTTCCCTTTTCGTTCAAAAATTCAGTTCCCCATCCTAGACCAGACTCCTGTCCTCTGCCAGGGTGTAAGAAAAGTTAGCATTCTGTCACTACAGAACATAGAAGAGGAATTAGCATGTTATTGAATAAAGAATCAGGAAGATAATTCTAATTGGGTATAGAAAAATTTATACACCATAAACATCTGTATATGTACACCACTTTTATATACGTATTGTGACAATCACATGTATTAATAAACCTTCAAAAGGTAAGCACCTATATTTTCTTGTAATTAACAATTTCAGTTTTGTGCAATTTAGTCTATATTTATGGACTTTCCCTTACATATGGTGACAGAGAGACTGAAACATGGTTCACAGAGAAACACAGAACATATACAAATCTCATAATAAAATAACCATGTATACCACTGTTTAGGGAAATATTTTAGAGGAAACATACTTTCACTACTGGCCCCAAACCCCGTTATTCACTTAGGTTCTTAAATGTCAACTTTTAATACAAAAATACCTTCAAGCTGATAAGAACATTCACAGTGACTTACAAAATGGACAATATTCCAATGCTACACAAAACAGTTTTATAATACACAGCTTAAAGTTTTAAAGTTCTTGGCTGGCACTTGATTTTTTTTTATAGCTGATAGACATGATAACTACTGATCTGAATAAAATACCATTTTTAGCTTATATATATGTTCTAAACCATATTACCTCACAAAACAGTAAAGAATAAATCACTTTCTGATGGAGAATCCTCTAGGACAAACACCAAACCTATACAGCCAAAATATTTTAGGGAGGCAAATAAACATTTTAAGACAAGTCATGACCAGTGGATAAAAATTTGCATTACCCAATTATATGTCTAGGAATTGTTCTTCTGCGTCAATAAAGCATGTATTGGGCATAGATTAAAAATACAAACGTAAAAAGCAAGTTACCTTTTTTTTTGGTTTAGAAGGGTGTTTAATTCATGACATTACTAGAATGGGTGTTTTTTGGGAAAGAAAATTGGTCACATATACCAAATACACATTTTATATTCCAAAATAAAAACAGATTTATTTTAAAACAGTGGAATCCTTATTTTTATTTACTTATTTTTTACTTTCTGTGAGCTTGTGAGGCCATTCTGCACATTTATCAAAATGAAATCATTATTCAGTAACCTTTATATATATATATATATATATATATATATATATATGCAATTTTTTTTCCTTTGTAGAAAACCAAAATAATTTTACAAACTATATTTAACTTAGAATATAAAGAACTGACTAGTGTAAAATTTTGAAAATCTACCACTTTATTTTGAAGGAAAGTATACATCCTTCAAAACTCCACCAACAATTCCTAGTCCAGTTTTCTATTGTACAGATTAAAAAGTTAAATTCCTTGTGGCACTAACCAAAACTTAAAAATTAACAGAAGACTGAATTAATTAAAAAAAAAAAGCATACTAACTAATCAAAACAATCCACTGTGCAATGAATATTTGAACAATGAAAAAAACCTACCAAGCATCCCAGTCAATTACATAGTTCTTGCTTCCATATTTTAATTTTGGACTTTCAGGAAGGTATATTATTAAACAGGTCGATTTTGTGGACTGTTTAAACCTTGTAGTATTTCAAAATATTACCCTTTCTAAACCAAATCTGTGGTCCTGGTCAACTTTTTTTTTTTCAAGAAAAAGAAAGGATATGTGTTTAAAATACATTCCGTAGCAGTAGAAACATCTTAGTGTCTCAAAATCTATTTACAAAGAACCCTGCTGATCCTGTGCATTTCGCTGAGGTGCTACTTGCACCCAGACTTCATCATCTGAAAAAGAACTTGAACTTCCTGACTCAGAGTCCAGCTCACTGAATCCATCTAAGTCCCATTCAGTA